GAACGAAAAATATTTTAAATGGAACAAAGTATCGATTGGAATTGCTTGACGAAACTAAGGAATTGAATCACTATTTGTGGTTTTTTTCGAAAATTATGAGCGTCAGCTTCAAAATCCCGAAACAAAACATATTAATGTGAATTCTATTTGAAAGTGAAAATTTTTAGGAGCATTTCATCGTTGAAATATACAATCATGGCTGATTTGAAGCAAATTGAACTCAAAATCTTCTGGAAATATGTTCGATTTTCGTCCAAAAATGAACAAATCTTGTTTTTTTTGGATTCGGATTGCTCCAAATTTACTTTACATTCGTGGAAAAAAAATTCATCTCCATAGTTTTTATAAACTTTCATCTCGAAATAAATGAATTGTTTTGTCTGATAATTCTTCTAATTTAATTGGAATATTATTGAAAAGAATTATTAAGGCAGAGTATCAAAAATATTGGAATCTTGTTAAAAGTTTGTTTCAAAGTTATATTTTTATTTGGGAATTTCGTTCTGGTGTTACTGTAGTGTCATTTTGTTCATTTAACTGCAAAATTAATGCAAAAATATTTGCCTCCGAAATTGGAAGAATTCAGAAATTAGAAGTACCCAAAGTACAAACACCTTCTAATTTCCGAGGTTCCACTGTATATACGAAAAATGATACTTTTACCTGTTTGGACCCGAAAATAGTCCAAAATAGCTATGTTTTATTGCTGATCTGATTTTATTCGGTCATTTTCCATTACTTGTGACCCGTTTGTCACATAGATTTGCATGAAAAAGCAAAAAACCAAGTAAAAGTAAATTTTGAAAATCCTCTGCAAAGCTAATTTTTCAAATGACCATAATTTTCTTATATGGAACCAATTCGACAAAACTCTTTTGAGGGTTTTCATGTCTCATGGGCCTCTCTAAACTTTGATATATCCGCTCTGGGTTAGGCAACTTTGACTTTTTTTTGTCGCACAGTGTTAATAATATTTTTTTTCAAATTTTGATAAACAATAAACACTTCGAAGTTCAAAGGCTAGAATGAAATTTGTGTAGAAAAATCCTAGGAAAAATCAATCGATTTGTATAATTCATCATTAGATAAAAACATTTTGAAGAGTCTCAAATACTCTCATCAATTCAATAAGATGTGTTGATTTGAATCCATTAACATACAATTTTTAAATTCGCTTTCGATAGACTGTTTCCGATAAGACTCTGTGAATGAAATTCGATGACTCTTTTTGCTCAATCTAAACAACATTTCGACGTTTTTCTAATATCTTTAGATGATATTTACCAAAAAAATTGGAAATTCAAATGAGATGATTTTATCAATTCTTTAGACGATTTTCACGCAAATTATGGACAACCTTTTAGACGATTTCTGCAATTTATTTGGACGATTTTCGTAATTTTTTCCTTGACGATTTTCGTAATATCATTAGACGATTTTTTCACCTTTTTTTAGACGTTTTTCCAATAATTTTAGACGGTTTCCTAATGAGCCATTCTTTTATTCCCTCCAAGAATTTGAATCAATTTCATTCTTCATAAAACGTAATTGATGAATTGGAACTAACGCCATAAACACGATTTTATTCTCGCTCTTTTTCTGAAATTTGAGAACAAAATGTGCATCTTTTCAAAAAGTTCAGATTCAAAAGTTAAGAAACTCAAGTAAACCAAATGCGCTCTTTGCGCGGCGCACTCGCGCCATACGGCATTTCTAATATAGAATGGACTGTGAGTGGCTATGTGCGTACATAATACAATCAGAGTAGCCTTACGCATACACACATAAACGCACTACCGCATCATCGAACCAAAGCGCGCCTGTGTCCATGCGTCCACGATATTTTTTGTATGAACACAGCCGCACGCTGCTCACGTATAGCAGAAATGTCGCACGGCGCGAGTGCGCCGCGCAAACGGCGCATTTGTTCTACTTGAGAAGTGTTTGAACATGTCAGAGCGCTGAAACTTATTTTGAGATGAAACGAAGTCTTCCAAGTAGAAAAATCAAAAGCTAATGCAAAAGTCTCCTAAACAAATGATTTGAAGAAATCAAACTTTATCTCTTGGCTACGGCTTCGATTTGTTCCGTACAGCTCTTGTGTTGAATTCAACTGTGAGACTATGAACTGCAAATTGGTCTTCAATTCGCCCGGTTTGAAATTCGATTTGATCTCGGAGAAGGTTTCATTCAGCGACAAATTGAGCTGCAAATATTGAATGACTGAGAAAAAGCAATGAAAATATGGATATGTGGTACTGCAAATATTCTAAAAAGACCCATACGAATTCAGTCTGAGTCGGAACAAAATGTCAAATTTGAATAAAATTGACCGTTCCTCGAACATATAGAGTCGCTAGTTTGATCCGAACCGAACAAACGAATAAGTTGTTTTAAAGAATTGAAGTTTTCCATAAGCGCGGTGAATGTCTCCTTTTGTTTTCGTTGTCGTTGGCTGGAAAGAGCATGAGAAATAGCCAAGGCTGAGATGAAAAGAATCGATCTGAAAACCATTTGAAGTTGAATTACAATATAAAGCTACTGTTCTTTGGTCTGACGGAAATCTCATCGAGAGATGTTTTTGGTTTACATGAGCTCTGAACTTGCTTTGAACAATATTCTCAACGTTTTGAAATGCGATCAAAATCATCGAATGGAAACTTTGAGCGAGAGCAATTGTGATTTTTTATGAATAGAAACATAGATTGAAATAAATCTACTTTAAAATGAATTAAAGTTTTTGGAGGCAAAATAGATGTTCTGATTAGGGTTTAAAAAATCGTTATTTTTTTCAGTGTTTCAAAAAATGTTATTTTACAGAGCAGTTAAATAACGTCTAAAAAACGTTATTTTCGTTTTTGCTCGTTTTTTTGCGGTATTTTGAACTGTCAAAATAAAACACTACAGAAAAATAACGATTTTTATCACCGTTTGCGGTATTTGTCGAAACGTTTGTAAACCCTAGTTCTGATGAAATAATATTTGATAAAAACAGCCCAAATATGTGTGTGGATTCAGCCGATTTATTTCATTAAACTGAAAAGACTTCATTAAATCAAAAATCGCAAGAAAAAGTCATCGATTTTTACAGATTTTTCATTCCAGATTGATGTAATCTACGACTGCTAGTGTCAAACGTAAATGTACAGCAGCGACAAGTCATGTAATACTAAACGCATCCATTCCCATTAAGGCTTAACGACCATTCCACACCAAGTGTAACAAAAATTGCAGATGACCTCTCCGATTTCGCTCAAACTTGGTGTATAAACTTCTTATGGCCAAAAACTCGCAAAGCCAAAAAATTAGGGTGACCTTCTCCACCTGATGAAAAGTTAGGGTGACCCAAATATTGAAAAAAATGAAAAATGGCACTTTTTGACATTTTTACACTAGAAAAGTGTGGTACACACTTTCAAAACTATATGCATGGTTGGATAGATAATCGATGGGGCTACAAAAAAGTCCACTGCGACAACCCCATCCGGGCTCATTCAAGCTATGAAAAGTGGGTTCAAAGTATAAAATGTGAAAAAAGTCAATTAGACGTGGTTTTATTTTTTCAAATTTTTGGGCTTAAAAGTCGGCCCACCTCAAATTCTTGAGTTTTTCGATATTCCCTAACTATCCGCCAACTCATATTTTATGGAAAAAAAATTCGGTGTTTTCACCATTTCCCATTTTTTCATGGTTTTTCGACTACATAATTCTTTTTCACACCAAATAGGGGGTCTGACACTGGTGATATGTTCTGAAAAAATTCTCACCAGACTCCAACGAATCAAAAAATAACAATGTTTGGGGTCACCCTCCCCTTTGGAAGGGAGGGGGAGGCTAAAAAAGTCGAAAAATCACCGAAAATCAAAATTTTAGGGCTAAAACAGGACAGAAACCCTCTTTTAACCCCAAATCACTGTCATATTTGAAAAGCTGGTAGAAAATCCAACTTATGTGTAGAACATTCCAGCTTGATCAAACCCTCCATACTGCCTCAATTCGAGGTCGGTAGTTTGAAAAATCGTGCTCCTGCAAGTATGCAACCATTTTCAACTGCTTCTAAGGCACTAGCACTGGTGCGATGTGTTCCTTAAATGTAGCGCTTGATGTCTAGTTTCTTTTGGCGTATAACATGTTTCATTTATATAGTTCAAATTTGGCATTGGGGAGGCTAATATTGAAGAAAAAGGTGAAAAAATCGCACAATCTCACCACAACTGCCGAAATCAAGGCAGTAGACCTGATTTTTGACCAAAAATGATTGCATTTTCGAATTCTTCGTCAAAAATTAGCCTAAGAATGGTCTATTCAAAATTGAATCAAGACTTCAAATGATACTCATATTGATGCTGCAGATTAAAAGTCCAACCACATGCTAACAGCTTATTTCAGTATGTTTGGACACTCGATCTCCCGAGTTATATTTGAATATAGGTCAGGTGCGATCAGCTTTGAACGTACCTTTAATCTTACACCAAAAAATCAGTTTGATTCCAAACGCGATTTATACCATGTCTGAAATAATTCAAATAATACTGATGAAGAAATACGACAGCAGGAAAACAATTTAAATATATTTGCAGTAAAATTTGCATTGTCTAGAACAATTCGAATGGCTTCAACAGAAATCAAGCAACCATTGATTTCTTATATACGTATATAAGTATGAATTGATGAAAATAAACATAGTATCCTAGCAAATATAATCAATCATTCTTTCGTAACGGACAATTCAATACGAAATTTAAACCAAATCAAACTCCATAATGGACTTATTTATGTCCATAGCGATCATTTTTATCGTAATTACTCAGTTAATTCACAGTTCGTCATCAGTACCGTTATGTGACGATTGGTGGGTTTTTCAAAAATCGTTAGAAGATCATGTACAAAAATCGGAACCAAACAAACAAATAAAAAAAATGAAGGACACCATCGTTTTAACCAATGCTCTCATTGGAATAAGTGAACTAAACAAAAACACGGAACTAGCAAATCAAATTATTGTGGAATATGGCATCGATAAGAGTTTTCAATTCAGAGACAGTCTTGGTACGATTTTGTCTCTTATGGAAATATTCAAAATCATGCATGCCAATCATCGCGCTTTTACGGTCAGTATATTAAAATTTTAGGTTTTAATTTTCAAATGCGCCAGCTATGCAGAGCACCAAAAAAGTTTCTTGTTGACTCTGGTTCGGTCAGTCAACAAATATTAAGTAGAAAACAAAGTCTAAAACTAGGTGAAACGAATAATTTTATTAAATTTCAGTTAAGTGTGCTACAACGAACGACTGAGGAATTTTATGGTCTAAACGATATCCCGGACTCAATAATCAGATTGCATACTCCAGCGCTAATGATATTTAAAGATGATAACTTAGATAATTTCCATTCAAAATCGGAAACGTTTTGGATGTTTGTCCAAGAAGTTCATTTCTCGTTTTTGGAATACACTGTGGATGATGTAAAGAGTCTCACGTCGCTTGTCATCAACTATTTAGAGGAAAAAGATACTGCTGGTGATTGCTTGGAAAATATCAAAAGAGCTCTTAGTAAATCGATAAAACTGAACCTCGAAAAAACTGTACAATCCAAAACATAATAAAATATTATATGACCAATGAGCAGTTGAGCACACTATATCTGTCTGCAATCAAATTCGGACACGATATTATTCCTATGAGTTCTCTCAACGAAATGCTTCTTACGACCGGATGTTGTGACGATGTCTTCGTTGCATTTATGGCAGTGCAATTTGCAGCATTTTCGATCGGCATCGCAACAAATCTGAATTTTGCTTTTGAAAAAGAAAGGTGCCTTGCAATTCATTCGAGTAAATTAAAAAAAAATCTTATACATCTATCATCAAGAAAATTCTTTTATCAAAGAAATTACTGTTGTGAAAAGTTTGAAGACTTGCACACTTCTCAATGAACATTAATAGAATATCCATTTTGTTTGAATCGAGCCATTCAAATGCTGTTCCGAGTGCTGTACTCCCTTCGTTTGTTGGAATGTACGGATCGGCACCATGATCGAGCAAAATTTGTACCATATCTTTGTTGTTTGACGGACCCGATGTTGCGGCAATATAAAGAGCAGTGACTCCCCACTTATCTTTCGCATTCACGTCAGCGCCGTTTGAAAGAAAAACTTGAGCCGCATCGATATTACCTGTATTTGAATCGAATTTTTTGCGTATGGAAAAGTGACACATATTCATTTTACGGTATAAAATTAAATTACGCTCTCTGGCGGCCAAATGTAGTGGGGTAGTGTTAGTCCTTTCTCTTGCATTGACATCAGCACCACGATCAATCAGAAGTTGAAGCACTTTTTTATAATCTGGATGCGATGAATAACTATCCACGGCAAAAAACAGCAATGTCACATTCTCTTTTGTTTTAATATTAATGTCAACACCATTGGAGAAGAGCCAATTGAGCATCTTAAAGTTTCCTGCATAAATTAGAACTGGTTGAATTGTTGCTCTTTTGTTTGGAATTAAAAATGATTTACACTTTACCATTTTTGATGATGCAAGAAAATAAATGCACGTATACATGTCCATTTGCAAAATGATTTGTTAAACTTATGTTTGTGCCGTGTTGAACCAACAATTTTAGCTTATCTTGGAACAATTCTGATTTTTAAAGTAAAATAAAATATATCATATATTTAATCCAGACTGATTCGGATATAAAAATATATGAGAAAAATTATTATCTATCTCAGTATATTTATTTAATATACCGTTTCTATGCAATTATATTTCCCGAAAAAATGCTTGCTATTTATCTATGGATAAATCTAAA